TGTCGTTGTGACTGTGATCGTCATCGCCAAAGCGCGCGAAATGGACAGTTCGAATACAACCGAGGAAGTCGAATCGATTAACAGGTACTAAAAAAACAACGTTAAAGCAACAAAACTGAAATTCTATTCAAGGCTAAAACAATTTTCTGGCGGTTTTTTTTTTTTTGTTTTATTTAAGTTGTAATGAAGTGCATTATTTAAGTTGACCTTAACAATGATGGTCGAGTAATATTTCTTAGAATGGGTAGAAATCTTTTTATATTCGTGGTGACCGCAAATGGTGTCTTAACGAAATTGATATAGTAGAGTCTGTTTTTTTCCGAGTTATAGCACTAAATAACCTTGAAGTCTACAACTGTGTGTATTCACAGAAGAGGTCAAGGTAAGTTAGTGTAATATGGAAATAAAACATGCATCTTTTGTCATTAATTATTATTTATAACATTATGAAACGAACTTAATAAAAAAGACGTATATTTATAAAAATATGTTTTTATCAATCATTTTTTATAACAACACTAGGGAATAACATTTACAAACGCGCCATCTGTTAAAATCTATTACAACTAACCTTAAATAATCTTTTATAATTTCAAAAAAGTATTATTTCCTAATTTCATTCTATATTACACTAAAACTAACACTACACCTAGAAACTTTCGGGTTAATCCGTGCGTCTTTTGAAAAAATTTTTGACAATTGGGATGCCATCTTGCAACCTTCTTACGAGTCTGAAGTAACGAAATCGGTTAAAATTTGGTAATAAATACATGAAAAGATAATTAATAACTGATTAGTGTCTAATTCTCAACTAAGTTGTTTATGTCAAACCCGGGTGGAGAAAGTTTCGTTGAATTCGATGAATCTCTATCGCCTCTTTCGTCAATCTTTGGAAGTAATGCCCGTTTCTTGCTAGCACTTTGGTTTTGTCAAACTCTATAGTGTGTCCTCCTTTGTACCAATGCTCTGCGACTGCAGATTGTTGGATTTTACTCAATCGGACATCCTTCTCGTGTTCCTTGATGCAGCATTCGATGTTACGTCAAGTTTGGCCAACGTAATATTTCTCACAACTGCACGATAGTTGATAGACTGATAGATTGTCTTTGGCTATCGGAAGAGTGTTTTGTATTTTGTTGATATTATTCTTCTTCAGATACCTCGCAATTCGCTCCGTTACACCTGAAACATAAAGAAGGCAGATAAAAGGTGAATAGAGTAGAATCGAGGATGTAGTGCTTGTGTTCCATTGAGGTCTTATATATAATCTAGAGAGCGTATGTGGTGGTGGTGGGGGTAATCAGAAAGTCAGACATGTTGGATGTACCGACCTGAACTTAGCTATAGTTTCAAGTCTCTATTGTACCTACAATTATAACCTCACAATTCTCATAAACATATTATTATTTTTATTAAAATTTGATTTTTGTTGAAAGTTTTCGAATTCTTTTCGTTTCACATATGTTTTTTTATAATTTGATAGGTTGGACGATTATTTACAACAGTCCATAAAATGTTTCTGGTTACTTGACTGGGAATTAACTCCTTCTCTTGATAAATTGAGCTACTCCCTTCTTGCACCAAGGTCTTCAATTGAAGTTCAAGTAAAGTTTATTATTAAGGACTGTTCAGTTTTTTTTTAAATAAACTAACAATTATTTATAAGCAAAGAGTAACGTGATCAATCGGAATTGCTTTAAATATTTTCTTCTTCGTTTTTGTTAATTAGAAGGGTTATGGCTAAAAATTATTAAGTTCTTTTAAAATATCATATAATTAATAATTATTTATCAATAAAAAATTAATGTTTTGTTTTGGTTATTATTTTCTGTCTTTCTAGTTTATAATAATGTAAATTCTTGCATAAGTATATATAAGAATTTCGAATTTCCCGCTAAGTTGGTACATCTAACATGGCGACCTTTCTGGCTTCATTTTAGGCGTGGTGGGGACAACAGGATACGCACTCTAGATTATATATAAGACCTCAATGTTGCGTTCAAATTTCATCAGCTGGAATTCCAGTAATGATATGTTGAAAGTACCTCTTGAAGGTAAACATGGACTTGGTGCATTCTGTCAAAATGTTGTTGATTTAAAACCATATGCTCTAAAGGACAAAGAATGGATACTGCTAGAAGAAGTGCATAAATTACTAGTCAACTTTCAAATACTTTCCAAGAAACTCGCAGGAGAAAAATACGTCAAATTACCTATGGTGGTTGTAGATAATATTGAGAACATATTTGCATGGGACCGAATGGCAGATCGAAACGCTGTCGAAGAGCACCTTATTCTTAGTTTTCACACTGCGAGAGACAAAATATTAAAGCATTGTCGTAAAACTAATTAGGTTTATGTTGCAGTTTTAATTCTCGATTCACGGCATAAGATAGAAGTTTTTGATATGACAAGATGGAGCCAAGAATTAAAAGAGACTTCGATGCAGAAATTTGAAGATGTGTACAACTATTTGCATCAATCAGAAGGCCAACGTTCGAAAGTAACGGCATTGGAGGAACGACAAGATTCTAGAGCGGAAAAGTCAGATTTTGATGTTTTGTATGCAGTAAATATTATTCTATGCCTCGATGTAATAAAGACACAGATATATTACAATGGTGGAAAATTCATGCTTCTGAATTTCCTATTTTAAGGTTAATGGCACGAGATCTCTTAAGCATACCGGTTACTTCAATCCCGGCAGAAAGTTATACCTAAACGATTGGGTGAAAAGCAAAATCATCGACCGACAGGGCTGAGGGCTGTAATTCTTTCTTCCGACTCTTACATTATAGCAAGTACTTAAATACTTGCTTCGCTGTTCAATTACTTTGCTGACTTACATGTATGTTGTGTGCTATTCTTCGAGTGCTGATGGAAGGATTATCAATGACAGCATTAATTATAGCTTCTTCGTCCTCTACATTAACTACATGCGAATAGCTTTTGCTGGAGCAGGATTACCTGTTTCTCGAAGTCTTCTGAAAGAATCGCCAAAAACTAAATCATATGGCAAATGACGCTGTGGAAATTTTTCTGGATATTCTCGTACTGATTGTCGAACATTTCCATTGCAAAAACCATACACAAAAATTATACCTGAATACTCTTCAGTGCTATAAGCGTACATTTTGAGTTTCTTCTTGTATGTAATAATTAAACCTTACAGCAAACTGACATATTACAATGACAACTTTGTTTTTGTTGAATGTTTGATTTTACTGACTATTAATAAATTCGGTGCAGAAAACTTTAAAGTGATTTAAAATAATTGACTATCATATGTCAAAGTTTGATGGCGAAGTAATAAGACTAATAAGTCACCCTGTATATCAAAGCAAAAAATTTCTCAAAAAAGATCTGAGTGCTCCTTTTATGGCGTTCCTCATTGATGAGACACAACAAATAATCGTTGTCATAGTCATGGCTACTTTAAACATAATGAAGTTTTTACTATTAAGTGAAATATGTGAAGGGTTAAAGTTACTAATCAATATATTTTCGCATGGCGCGATCTAAATTTGTTAAATCATGCGAGTACCATGTTAAGATCACGTCGAGTATCACGTCGCTTGATTATATTATTACATCATGACGGGGTCACCAAGTATGTGGAACTATATTTTTCGATTAAATCCTTGGCATTTTTTTCATATCTTTCACAATGTACTACATCAAACATTTTCCTTATTTATTTAAACATATATTTAAACAAAAATGATATTGATAAATAGAATTATTTTTGTACTATACACTTGCGCGTTTGTCCTTTAGAATTATAACCATTTTTGCAATAACTCTATTAATTTTGTTGCAAAATAAAAAAAAAAATTATTGACTTGTTCAATATTGGAAACCTAACGAATTATAAACTGTAAAGATGTTGGATGCGTTTGAAAGGCGTTGGTGCATCATAATGGTGAAGTTGGTTTGGTAGAGGCGAGTTGCAGCGCCCCTCAATTTCATAGCAATTAATCACGAGCAGTTTTACTAAAATCGTCAATTAGTTGAGTCGTAGTTACGCGTTGGCTTCCACTTCAAGAGTTACGCTTTGATCGTGTAATTTTGCACAAAATTGATTGTGCTCAACGAATTTACTGCAGCACGTGCACCTTCCCCGTGTCGCATCGAAGCTGAACAAACTCTAATCCTAAGAACAATGTTTTCGATAAATAAAATTTGATACCCGTGCAGCTACTTTAATAAACTTGAATTAATTTGAAATCGAACGAATTCAACTCGTTTATAAGTTTGTAATTTTTAACAAATCGATACAACTTGCTGCACCTTGTTTACGATTTATACCTAGATATCAAGGCTGAAGTTTTTTTGCAATGTTTTTTATATGTTGGAGTCGTTCCGTTAGCTATAGACTTTCATAACAAATACTTGGTATTTATAGTAAATATTTGATTTTAATTACGTAATCACTTCAAAGAAATGTTGCTTACACCTGGAGGATATGATTGTTTATGACATTTCTTAACCTTGATGAAAGGAAAGGTTAGTTCTATCATCAGTATTCGTGTAAGCGTGTATCTTGCTAAAACTGACCAACGCAAATCGAAACGATGAACAATTTACTTTTATAACATTGACCCACATGCGAGTTTCTGCAAACGTCGACGACTAAATAAAGAAACGTGCTTTGTCCTTTTTTCTCTATTCCAGGTGAAAAACTACCCCACCTTCCATTAAAATCAAAACCGTCCAATTAGTATTCGCAACGAGAAAATAACCGAAGGACCACCGCATACTCCATCGATCCATCCATTCCATGACTCCTTCTTATTGATTTTGCAACAAGGAAAAGACTTCCTTTCCTCGACTTTCTTATGGTCAAGGACGCAAATTTAAGTTGAATTCTTCGCGAATTGCGGCAACCCTATAATCTTTACTTTAAAAGAACAAACCTTTGGTTTATATGCAAATTATTCTGTTAAATAAATCGAATTAGGAATCTAAAACAATTTTAAACAAATACATTTTTGTTTCAGTAACAGTCGTGAGATGAGAAACCGAGCTGAAAAAATGCGAAGGGATAAACTGAACGCTTTCATTGGTGAGTTGGCGACTCTTGTACCGATGGTTTCTCGAAGCGCCAAAAGGATGGATAAAACCAGCATCTTAAGATTAACAGCCAGTCATTTAAGGATACATCAAAGTAAGTAAAAATCGAGTTTTATAGATATGTTTTTAAAAATGTTGTTAGTTTAGTTAAATTCCTTATCGTATGATACCTATTGCATTGCAAAACAACAATTTTGTTTACGTCCCCGGTTGTATTTGCTCTGTGAAACGTTGAACCGCAGGGCAACCGTCGATAATATCTAATGCTAGGTAAATATTTACCTGTTCAACTCATTCCGCATGAGGAAATATTTTAATTTAGGGCGGGATGTTTTAAAATAATTCCTATCGGTTCTATTTTGCTAGTTATTTTTTGTTTACATGATTTCAAAAAAAATTCATTTACACTCGTAAACAACAACCAAAGGATTCGTATTTATTTATATTCCAATTTTTAGCGTTGTACAGGGTGTCCCAAATTCGGTGTCCGAATATGCTATCTTCGAAACTAAAAGAGATATAAGAACAGTAGATATAAGACATGTCATCATCTCAACATAATTCCTGTAATGTCAAATGATATTAACATGTTACATTTTATGTGGGAGAAAGTAAGTAGATACGCCCTGGTTTCTATGGAAATATATTTCAGTATATTGCATCTTAAGTAAAATTCACTGTATATTATTTTATAGTTAACGTTGAAATAATGTTTATAAGTCGATGCATATAATTTATTTTGCCTGTTCTATGCAGTTTCAGCAAAATACCAAGGAATGTGTTTTAATATGGTAAGATTAACCATTTCACTGCTATAAATACGGCGTGTACGTCTCGAGCATAGCAGCGAAAAGGTTTAAAAAAATGAGCGATGACTTCCAGAAAAGAAAAAATTGAGTTAGGTTAGTTCTGTTTACAAATGTCAATCAACTCTAACAAAAATATTGCGTAATGTTAAGATAGGTCAGATTTCTTTTGAACCCCAATTACAGCGTGAAGGAATGTCGGTTTTCTTTTGTACCCCAATTATAGCGTGAAGAAATCACAATTAAAGTGTGAAGGAATGTTAAGACAGGTAGTTTTCTTTTGAAACCCCATTAAAGCGTGAAGGAATGTTGGGTAAGGTTAGTTTTGTTTTGAAACCCCAATTATAGCGTGAAGGACTGTCGGTCTTCTTTTGTACCCCAATTATAGCGTGAAGAAATCCCAATTAAAGCGTGAAGGAATGTTGAGTTAGGTTAGTTTTGTTTTGAAACCCCAATTATAGCGTGAAGGAATGTCGGTCTTCTTTTGTACCCCAATTATAGCGTGAAGAAATCCCAATTAAAGCGTGAAGGAANAGTTATTTTTTGTTTACATGATTTCAAAAAAAATTCATTTACACTCGTAAACAACAACCAAAGGATTCGTATTTATTTATATTCCAATTTTTAGCGTTGTACAGGGTGTCCCAAATTCGGTGTCCGAATATGCTATCTTCGAAACTAAAAGAGATATAAGAACAGTAGATATAAGACATGTCATCATCTCAACATAATTCCTGTAATGTCAAATGATATTAACATGTTACATTTTATGTGGGAGAAAGTAAGTAGATACGCCCTGGTTTCTATGGAAATATATTTCAGTATATTGCATCTTAAGTAAAATTCACTGTATATTATTTTATAGTTAACGTTGAAATAATGTTTATAAGTCGATGCATATAATTTATTTTGCCTGTTCTATGCAGTTTCAGCAAAATACCAAGGAATGTGTTTTAACATGGTAAGATTAACCATTTCACTGCTATAAATACGGCGTGTACGTCTCGAGTATACTCGAGCATAGCAGCGAAAAGGTTTAAAAAAATGAGCAATGACTTCCAGAAAAGAAAAATTGAGTTAGGTTAGTTTTGTTTACAAATGTCAATCAACTCTAACAAAAATATTGCGTAATGTTAAGATAGGTCAGTTTTCTTTTGAACCCCAATTACAGCGTGAAGGAATGTCGATTTTCTTTTGTACCCCAATTATAGCGTGAAGAAATCACAATTAAAGTGTGAAGGAATGTTAAGACAGGTAGTCTTTTTTTTGAAACCCCATTAAAGCGTGAAGGAATGTTGAGTAAGGTCAGTTTTATTTTGAAACCCCAATTATAGCGTGAAGGAATGTCGGTCTTCTTTTGTACCCCAATTATAGCGTGAAGAAATCCCAATTAAAGCGTGAAGGAATGTTGAGTTAGGTTAGTTTTGTTTTGAAACCCCAATTATAGCGTGAGGGAATGTCGGTCTTCTTTTGTACCCCAATTATAGCGTGAAGAAATCCCAATTAAAGTGTGAAGGCATGTTAAGACAGGTAGCTTTCTTTTGAAACCCCATTAAAGCGTGAAGGAATGTGAAGACAGGTAGTTTTCTTTTGTTACCTCAATTAAAGCGTGAAGGAATGTTGGGTAAGGTTAGTTTTGTTTTGAAACCCCAATTATAGCGTGAAGGAATGTCGGTTTTCTTTGTACCCCAATTATAGCGTGAAGAACCCTAATTAAAGCGTGAAAGAATGTTACGATAGGTCAGTTTTGTTTTCGTCTGTCAATCAACCCGGAAAAAAATATTGGGTTGGGTTGGGTTGGGTTGAGTTGGGTTAAAAGTTACTGCTTTTCTATCTCTTTTAGTTTCGCAGATAACCTATGCGAATTTGGGACACCCTGTACATGCGCTCTGAATGCATAGTTATCAAGTTATCACCGACCATCATTGAGAGCGTGCCAATGATCTTTCACTACGTTTTTATTAATCACTCAGCCCTCCTTTTAATTAGTCAAAAGATTTACAACATTACGTAATGAAGCCGAGGCTGCTTGCGGCCGAGGCACCACAATATACCGGGTGTCCCTCAAAAGTGGCTCACCCCCATATTTTTCTTTATTATTGGTGATATAAGAAAACCATTTGGAATGCATAGTTAGGTCGCTAAAACGGATTATTACGACATGAAATCATTCTTTTTGTACTTCCGGTTATACCGGATGTGAGTACTAATTTCGCTATTTTTTTAAATCTATAATTTTTTTCTTTAGTTGGATTGATAGTATAATTTCACATAACTTTTACTTGAAAAAATTTTCACGATCGCTTATAATTTTTGAAAAAAAAATATTTTCGATATTTTATAACGTTTTAGTTATAAAACCTTAATATCTTCGGAAAATGTATTACAACTTTTGACGCATAGTAGCTAGGTTGATAGTATAAACTACGTTATGTCCCTCTTGATTTGCTATTTCTCGAGCAGTGATCACTGCTATGCTTTAGTCAGTGGTTCTTTTTTAATAATGGTGTAAATTAACAGTTGTATTAAATTAGTTTTAAAAGAAAAACGCGATCAAACAATTAAGTTTAATTCAATTATTTTTGATTTTTTATTTTTTTCTTTATTTTTTGTTCTTTTACACTAAATGTTCTGTAGCTGATAGTAACTTACAATGTCCATTGTACATTATAATTTGGATTGTTTACTTTATTTTGGTTAAAACCTCTCAGATCACCTGACCTCACACCTTTAGATTCTTTTTATGGGGCAAAATCAAAAATGAGCTGTATAATACACCAGTAAGGTCTCGTGAGGTATTAGAAAATAAATCGAGTTAGAAATTGTATTACCTAAATATCTCCGCAGGAATAACGTCGAGTCGTTAGATCGACAATACGCAAGATACAATTATGTCAAAATCGAGGCGGGAGCATTTTGAAAATTTAGAAAATTAGTTTTTTTGAACTTACAATTGAATTAAATTTAATTGTTGGATAGCGTTTTTCTTTTAAAACTAATTTAATACAACTGTTAATTTACACCATTATTAAAAAAGAACCACTAACTAAAGCATAGCAGTGATCACTGCTCGAGGAATAGCAAATCAAGAGGGACATAACGTAGTTTGTACTATTAACCTAGCTACTATGCGTCAAAAGTTGTAATACATTTTCCGAAGGTACTAAAACGTTAAAAAATAAAGAAAATAATTTTTTTTTTCAAAAATTATAAGCGATTGTGAAAATTTTTTCAAGTAAAAGTTATGTGAAATTATACTGTCTACCCAACTGAAGAAAAAAAAATTATAGATTTAAAAAAATTGCGAAATTAGTACTCACATCCGGTGTAACCGGAAGTACAAAAAGAATGATTTCATGTCGTAATAATCCGTTTAACCTAACTAACCTAACTATGCATTCCAAATGGTTTTCTTATATCACCAATAATAAAGAAAAATATGGGCGTGAGCCACTTTTCAGGGACACCCGGTATAATTTCAGGCCGCCACAATATGATCACCAGTTTCAGGTTAATATAGTATTAATTACTGATCCTCGGCTGCAAGCGACTTTGGCTTAATTAATCAAAAGATCTAGAGCTGTAATTGATGAACTTGAGGCGCTGCAATATAATATTCAGTTTATTTTAATATACAGGGTGTATCTGAATGACTGCAACAAACTTCAAGGGGTGATTCGTTAGTGAATTTTAAGGGTACTTTGATATATGAACCATGGGCGACTTCGGCTCCCCTAAGGAGCTACACCCCTCCAAAAATGGCGGAAAATTTTGGTTTAATTTTTTTTTCTCAAAAACCGTAAACGTTAGGAAAATGAAATTTGGGGAATATGTTTAACTCATAATAGGGCACGTTTTGACCTTATTTGTACTTTCAATCTACCCTTCTAAACTACTAAACGTAACCATTCCCGTTCAATTTATGCCTAAATGTTTTTTATGAAGATGATAAATACATTGAAAAAATTTCAGTTAGATAGATAAAACTATTCTAAAACTTTTTTGTCTCTCTGATGTTCTTCTAAAAATTAATAATTTCTGAGAAAAAAAATAATTAATCAAACACTAACTGTTAAGCTGTAGGGTTATTAATAATAATATATAATATAATAATAATAATAAACCTTTATTGGCGACGTCATACAATAGTATTTGCGCAAGTCAGAAAAGCGTATAATACATAACAAACAGAATAATAAAAAATACATGTAACATTACCGCTAGTCAATTAACAACATTAAGAACATCTTAAAACTACATCTACAATAAACGACGGCACAAATCCGGACGAGTAAGGCATGCGAGATAAGGCCTATACTAGGTCATGAAAAGTGCTCAGATAGTACTCATCCACACTGTAGAATGCTCTCGCTAACAAGTAATTTCTGATCTTTGATTTAAAATTATTAATATCAAGTAATTTAATGGGATTAGGCAACAAATTAAAAAATTTAATTCCATAATAATTAGTGCCATCCCTAGCTCTTTCAGTGCGAGTATAATTAATCATGAGGTTATCATGGTGTCTGGTTCCATAATGATGGACCTCATCATGTCTTTTGAAATTCTGAAGATTTTTTTTAATGTAAAGGAGACAGTTAAATATATAAATACAAGGTATTTAAGATTTTTAACTCTACATTGCTAAACACCCGAGCAGCATGTGCAGAATGACCCCAAGCGAAAATGGCATATGATAAGTGAGAATGAAAATAACCATAGTATGCTGTCATTACTGTATTTACTGGAACGATATTAATTAAATTTCTAATACAGTAAATAATTTTGTTTAATTTACTAGTTGTTCGTATTGCATGCTCTTCCCATGTAAGTTTACGATCTAAATGAACTCCTAGATATTTGACAGTAGGGTTATCAACATTATCACCTAGTGCGCGCAAAGAGAAGAGTAACCGCTGAGTCTTAGATTCATTTACGCTAAGCTGACTAGCTGAAAACCAGTCAAAAATGCAACCCTGAGATCCAACCACCTCACTAAAAAGATCCGGCAAATTATCACTTATATTCACAGTGGTTGTGTCATCAGCAAATAATATAATGTTACTTGACTCAGGAACGTTATCAGCTAAGGCCCACTTTTACCACCTCCTGATAAATTTATCCGATAGATAAATCCAGTTCTTAGCCAATGAGAGCGCTTAAAAGCGCCGTAACCATGGCAACTATCCTCTAGATAGTTTATCAGGAGGATGGTAAAAGTGGGCCTTAGTCATTAATAAATATTAAAAAAAGTATGGGGCCCAGCACAGATTAATCGAAAGTTGGAATGAATTTTTAATGAAAAAATCTTAGTAGGCTTTGTCATAAATATCTATTTTTGACGTTTAAATGTCAGTGTTTTTCTTACTATTATTATTGTTTTTCAAATTAATTGTTAAATAAAGTTCTATCGCATTTACGCTCGTTCACTCGTCATTTCAAAATTTTAAATAAAACAATAATAATAGTAAGAACCACTGACATTTAAACGTCAAAAATAGATATTTATGACAAAGACTACAAAGCCTACTAAGATTTTTTCATTAAAAATTCATTCCAACTTTCGATTAATCTGTGCTGGGCCCCATACTTTTTTTAATATTTATTAATGGCTAAGGCCCACTTTTACCATCCTCCTGATAAACTATCTAGAGGATAGTTGCCATGGTTACGGCGCTTTTAAGCGCTCTCATTGGCTAAGAACTGGATTTATCTATCGGATAAATTTATCAGGAGGTGGTAAAAGTTAAAAAAGTTCAATTTAGATCGACAACCCCGTTGTTTAAGAGGCAGTGTTTGCTTTATTATTTTTTTTCTCAAAAATTAGTTATTTTTGGAAAAATTTTAAAGAGACAAAAAAGTTTTAGGATGCTTTCATCAACCTATGTAAAATTTTTCTAATGTATTTATCATCTGCATAAAAAGAGCTCCTTAGGGAAGCCGAAGTTTAAAGAATCACCCCTTGAAGTTTGTTGCAGTCATTCGGATACACCCTGTATAATTCAAGAAATGTTTTAATTTAGGGAGCGATTTGTTTAATCAGTTCTATTTTGCATTTATTCTTTCTTTCATTAAACAACAACTGAAACATTCGTATTTATTTAAATAATTTCCGTTGTCGAACGATACCTTATTTTAGTTATTTTTTTTTTTTGAATTTTTAGCGGTGTGCATGCGCTCTGAATGCATCGTTATCGCCGACCATCGTTGCCGCTCTCTCTCTATCTCTTTCAATACGTTTTTATTACGCATAATTTGTTTACAGCGTAGGGACTTTAAATTGCAGCACTTCGTATTTTCCCCTATCATAATAGTTCGTTATGTAAACGGTCGTTTTGGATTATCTTAGTTGTCTTCTAAAAACTTGTTCCATTCAAATTCTCTCTCTTTATATTCCCATAATATATTTTCTACGTTTTTTTTTACTATAGGATTACTTAATCGTAAAGATGAGTTAAACCTAAATATCCCAGACGTTGACCAATCGTTATTAGAAGATTTGGTACAAGATCAACTCCGTGGATTTCTCATGATCCTAACGACAAGTGGTAAAATTGTTTTCGTGTCTCAAGCCGTGGAGCACTTGCTCGGACATTTACAGGTAAATATGATACCTCGGCGAAAGAACGAAAATTGAATTCTTATTTCAATTTTCAGACTGATCTCATGGGCCAATCCATATTCAATTTGATATCTGCTGATGACACCGAACGGTTTCGAATGTACATAAGCACAGTGAATGACATCTCGGATAACGATTGGAGAAAATACTTTAACATGCATCTGAAACGTGCCGGGCCAAGAAACGAAGCGGCAGTTTACGAAGTTGTTAACATTACCGGAACACAACTTCGCGATCCAACAGCTATTCCTGCTTCTAGTAGTAATCGCGAACTCGCCATTCCTAATCTTGGCTCAAACGATGTAAGCATCAGAACAAACGAGAAATAAAAAGAACGATTGTTTTTTTCTTTTAGTTATGGATATTTTTTATGAGGGTATTAAAAACTGATTTAACAATTGAGCAAACCCTCGATACCAACGACGAGTACATCACAAGGCACCTTCTCGATGGGCGAATTATTAATTGCGATCATCGTATATCTTTTATAGCAGGCTATTTGAAGGAAGAAGTTTCTGGTGTTTCAGCTTTTAAATATATGCATCGAGAGGAAGTGCGATGGGTGATGATTGCATTAAGACAAAGTTAGTGCATATTTATTCTTAATTATTTTCAAATAATTTTTAATTTAATTTTTTTTACAGTGTACGATCGTGGTGAGAGCCGAGGTTCATCATGTTATCGTTTACTATCAAGAACTGGTCAGTTTATATATTTAAGGACGACAGGATATCTTGAAATCGACAATACGGGAACCGTCGAAAGTTTTATTTGTGTAAACGCGGTTGTATCGGAGAGAGAAGGACAGGAACTGATTAAACAAATGAAAGAGAGGTATTCGGCGCTGATCAAAAATGGCACATCTTTAATGGTAATAAAAAATATAATTAAATATTTTTTAATCTTAAATTTTTATTTTAAGAGTGTAAGTGCTAATGAAACAGAAGCACCACAAGGGGTGGACGATCCGCAACAACTAGATGTGGCGATCGCTCATTTATTGCATAGGTTACCATCACCGGATTCGGACAATGAATCGAATTCAAGCCCGCGTTCTGTAATTGGAGAGAGTCAAGACTTTAACCACTCGGACACTAACCACTCCACAACTTCGTCATCGTCCACAACGAACTATACGTACTGCTTTAAAGGGAAAGGATCGGGAAGTAAGAGGCCACCGCCGGTTGTGTCACACCAAGAAGCTTCAAGTGCGACGAAAAGACACAAGAAGTCTCAATCGAGCGATGACGGCCTTGGAGATTCAATTTCCACGACGTCGCCATCTTCTTCGTCGTTGACATCGACGTCGTCTTTACCGCAGGGTTATCACATAACGGATATTTCGGATAATAGGTGATGATAGTTTTGGTTGGATTGTGAACCAAAGGTGAAATAAAAACAAGAGTCCAACAAAAAAAGCAAAAGTCACTAGGGATACTATGTACTACTAGGGTTTGTGCCATTGATTTTTCAAGACTGATCATTATTTGCCCCGGATTGAAGATTTTAGAGGGATTTTCAAAAACAATACAGCAAAAAAAAAACCGATCGCTGACGATCCTGTACGTGCGTACTTAACTTTCTATAATCATATTAAAAAAATACAAATTAATTTCTTAAATTAGAAAGTAACAAAATCAACAAAATATTTTAATTTTAATTGTTTTTAAAGAAATTGTTTTTAATTATTAATTTTGATAGAATGAATGAAAAATTGGTGTATTTAAAACGACGTCCTTCTCATACTGTGATATATTTTTGTAATTTGTATAAGAATTTAAGAAATAAAGATCAACAAAGGGGTTGATTTCGGGGGAAAATGTGCAAATGAAATTTGAGATGAAAGTAATGTTAAAAAATAAGTAGTTTTAAATTAACGTAATTTTATCGAAATTTGTTTCTTTTGATTTTATGACTCAATAGAAAATTATATCAATTAATATGTATATAATAAATACATACACATCTACATTGAATAAAATTTAAATTATGGCTGAAATTGTTATAACGATATTGAATGTTTATTATTTAAAAGTATCTAATTATACAGGGTCGCTTATACAGTGTGTCCCAGGATAGATGTTACAAGAGGTATAATGACTTAAAAAATTTTGAATTTTATTTTAAGGCTGAGGAATTAAACCCTGCTTGGTATGGAGAGAATTTTACTTGATAGTGAAGCAAAAACTATTTTTAGTTCAGGTAAAGTTGTTCATGGTATGGCAAAATATCATTAAGGAAAGTTGTTCAGAATGAAAAATTATGGGAAAAAAATACCATGAACAAAGAACAAAAAAATGACTTAAGTAGTCGCAAATATTGACAAATAAATTGTATTATCCCTCAGTTTTAGGTCACATTTCAATTACTATACAATATTTATGTTATTTAAATTAAAATGTGATGGTTCAACCAAAGTAGACAAATCCTCCTGAAATGTTGTATAGGACCATAATTTCTCATTTTGAACAACTTTTCTTAATAAAATTTTTCCGTATCATGAACAAAAAGATTACTTTACCTAAACTAAAAATAGTTTTCAATTCACTGTCAAGGCCGCCTTTGTTTTCAAAATATGAAAATATTCTTAAAATTCTCTTCACACCAAGCAGGGCTTAGTTATTTAGCCTTAAAATAAAATTCAAAACTTTTTAAGTCATCATACCTCTTATAACGTCTATTCTGGGACACACTGTATGTATGGAAAGTGTCGGTTATCTCCGAAAAATGTTAAGATACAAAAGTTTTAGTGTTTTTTAAAATGTATTACAATAAAGACAAATTACGTATACAGGGTCAGTCAAAAAGTTATGATGAAACAAAGTTACGTTTTCTTTAATGTATATTATTCTATATTTCGAAATTCTAAACAAAATTCATATAATACATCATAAACCTAAACATAACCGTTTTTGAGATATTAAACTTTGAAAATCACTCTTATAAATTACACAAAAATATTTTAGTCGTTTATGTTCTTAATTCATCAAGTTACCTTTGAAAGTTTTTCATCTCCATAGCAACGCAGTGATATAACACATCAAAAATACAAAAATAGTTTGAATAATTTGCGCCCAAAAATAAATTCAACCTAATTAGATAAATTCGTAAATTTTGAAAAGCTCGATATCTGACATGATTTTTTTTAGAATTTTGAGATGGACCGAAATATGGAATAATATACAGGGTGTTCTATTAAAGAAAGCGTAACTTTGTTTCGTGATAACTTTTTGACTGACCCTGTATACTTAATTTGTCCTTATTGTAATAGATTTTTTGTAATTCGCGACGGTAATGAAAGCTCTAACAGTACTCAAACGGGTGTTGTAATGAGACTCCTTACAGCATCCGATGCTGTAATGAGATTTTAGTAACATTTTATGGAACCAGTTTAAGTTGGTGACATTGAGTCATCGTAATTTTTCTAGTTACCAATGTGACAATTTTTGTCTATGATTTTTAAACATGTTCTTAGTATCGAATACAAGGTCCACAATAATGAGGATATTGAATACTGAGCAATTTCTCTTATTTTGGGAGGTGTACAGGGTGGGCAAATTTGGGTGTTATTATAGGCTATCTCAGAAACTATAAGAGATACAAAAAAAGTAGGTGCCATGTCCCGGTCTCTTTTTCCGAGACTAATCCAANTGATGACTAGAAAAATTCTACGTGCACCATTGGATTCCACGTGAAAAAATCTATTAGAACCCGTTTTTAGTTTTTTACTGAGTTTCCGGATAGCCGAGATACAGGAGGTGTCTGAAAATCGTAAATTTCAAACGTATATCAAAAACAAAGAGGGCTATGAAAATTTGGTTTGCGTCAGTGTAAGTTTCACAAAAAAATAGCTCAGCTTTCTATCTTTCATAATAACTGAGATACCCTGCAAACCCATAGAAATTTGGACACCCTGTACATGAAACATTTTTGTCATTTTTTTTTTAACAATTTTTAATTGTCAATTCAAATTTCTATTTTCAAGTGTTACGGTGTTACCAACTGCAACATGCCTATTTGCCTACATTGTCAAAATTTATTTTAGTTTTATTTTTTGCTGTAATGAGGTTTTAGTAACATTTTATGGAACCAGTTCAAGTTGGTGACATTGGGTCATTAATTTTTCTAGTTGTCAATGTGACAATTTTTGTCTANGGGACATGGCACCTACTTTTTTCGTATCTCTTATAGTTTCTGAGATAGCCTATAATAACACCCAAATTTGCCCACCCTGTACATGAAACATTTTTTTCAGATGAATGCATTTTGTGACACTTTCTAATTGTCACTGCTAATTGTCATTTTCAAGTGTTACGGTGTTACCAACTGCTGCATACCTATTTCCCTACATTGTCAAAATTTATTTTATTTTTATTAAAAAAAAAGGATAAAAACGCAAATTACAACAAAAATAGCATAAAAAACACGTTTCATAAGACTTAAAGCATTTCAAGAGTGTCTTACGTAACTTGTTTTTTAATATACTATTTTGTAATTCGCGACGGTAATGAAAACTATTACAGTACTCAAACGGGTGCTGTAATGAAACTCCTTACAGCATCCGATGCTGTAATGAGATTTTAGTTAAATTTTATGGAACCAGTTCAAGTTGGTGACATTGGGTCATTAATTTTTCTAGTTGTCAATGTGACAATTTTTGTCTATGGATGTTTAAACACGTTCTTAGCATCGAATACAAGGTCCACAATGATGAGGACATTGAACTCTGAGCAATTTCTCTTATTTTGGGAGGTGTACATGAAACATTTTTTTCAGGTGAATACATTTTGTGTTTTGACAGTTTCTAATTGTCAATTCAAATTTCTATTTTCAAGTGTTACGGTGTTACCAACTGCTACATACCTATTTCCCTACATTGTCAAAATTTATTTTATTTTTGTTAAGAAAAAAGGATAAAAACGCGAACTACAAAAAATAGCATAAAAAACACGTTTCATAAGAATTCATTCATTAAAGCGTGTCTTACGAAACTTGTTTTTTAATATACTATTATTTATTTATATTTAGGAGATAACCGACCTCTTATTTTGTTATTCATAACTTCTTTATTTTTAAAAGTGAAGAATCGATTTATGTCAAAATTAGTAAAAAATTAGTAACTTTAGGCTATCTATATTAAACTGTTGTTTCATCACATCCAATTCAGTAAAGAATTAGGTTGGTTCTGATATTATCCAGTTTTATATTAATTAAAACAACTAAAAATTGAATTTGTAACTTAACATTCAATGTCGTTATAGCACAAATTTGAAAACATATTTTTGTTACAACCCAAAACTACTTTAATTCATCTCTGAAAAAGTACCGGTTATNTAACATTTTATGGAACCAGTTCAAGTTGGTGACATTGGGTCATTAATTTTTCTAGTTGTCAATGTGACAATTTTTGTCTATGGATGTTTAAACACGTTTTTGGCATCGAATGCAATTTCTCTTATTTTGGGAGGTGTACATTAAACATTTTTTCCAGATGAATACATTTTGTGTTTTGACAATTTCTAATTGTCAATTCAAACTTCTATTTTCAAGTGTTACGGTGTTACCAACTGCTACATACCTATTTCCCTACATTGTCAGAATTTATTTTAGTTTTGTTAAAAAAAAAAAGGATAAAAACGCAAATTACAAAAAATAGCATAAAAAACACGTTTCATAAAAATTCATTCATTAAAAAACTGGTGGTTTCGCCACTCCTTTTTCAACTAGAATTCGTGCATTTCAAGCGTGTCTTACGAAACTTGTTTTTTATAGTATAAAAAACAGAAAAACTTTTGTATCTTAACTTTTTTTGCTAGCTATCTTACTTTAGGAGATAACCGACCGTTTTCATACATATCAGCGACCCTGTATATTTTGTTATTCATAACTTCTTTATTTTTGAAAGTGAAGAATCGATTTATGTCTCAAATTCAAGTTTTTCGAAATCTGTATAAAATTTTATATAAAAGATTTAAGCTATTTATTCTTGTTGGTTGGTTGGTTCTGATATTATCCAGTTTTATATTAATTAAAACAACTAAAAATTGAATTTGTATGCTAACATTCAATGTCGTTATAGCACAAATTTGAAAACATATTTTTGTTACAACCCAAAACTACTTTAATTCATCTCTGAAAAAGTACCGGTTATATTTATGTACGTACAAGATCGCAGCTTAAAAGAAAATAATTAATTTTTTAAGCAAAAAAAGAAGCACAACATTCTCACTGTACACTAAGATATTTATACACATGTATATATTTAAGACAATAGTATTATCTTTTTATTGGGGATAATAATAACCTAAATATTTTTTCGGATGATGGTGTTGTGGTGATGTGTATTCAATGATTTTCTTTTTCTTACACACTTATAACTGATAAAGCATAAAAAATAAGTGAAAATAATGTGCAAAAAAGTTAATTAATTTTTTTGGTGTTGTTCGTTGTTAATTCGGTTTAATTCAATTTCATTTTTCGATCTCTTCACAGCAAATACATTTTAAATAATTTTTTTTTAATTGATACATCAACTTTAAACTCTAAGACTAAAGTAATACGGTCAATGAAATAACATATGTACAACTTATATACTATATACAGAGTATTGATTCATGAATTAAATGAATTTTTAATCATAAATGGACATTCTGTATATTTTAAATTAATGGTAAATATTCGTGTACAATAACAGTGTTAACCAAAATGAATAGAAAAGAAAAAGGTTTTTTATAAAATATGAAATAGTTTGTTTAGCCCTTTTCTACAAATTATAATAACGATTTTTTTTTGTTGTCAATTCTTTTTAGTGCATTTAAATTGCAAATTATCTGTGTGATCCTTAAATTATACTAACACGATTAGTATGAATAAAAGCCAAAAACTTAATAAAAAGGATACACGATATATTAAAAATGAGCGA